AAGCATAAGGAGCTACTTTTTCATAGTCACAGTATCTATTATTTTTGTTTTTTTCTTTTTTTTTTTTTTTTTTTTTTTTTTTTTTTTGGGATGATAAGGGTACTAACAACTAAGCTAGCTAGCTAGCCCAGGCCAACCTTCAGCAGACTTCAGAAGCCTTAGAAATTAAACCACTTGATTTCAGTACTAGAATGGAAATCAGATATAACCTGACAAAATCAGATGATGAATTTAATTTTTTAAGAAGGAACTAGTAAAAATGCTATAGCCAATTAGAATCATTCATATAAATTAAAATGCAAGGGAAAAGGAATTTATTTCTTGGATTTCAAAAATATTTTCCGATATTAAAACAGAGGTGTTTGGACTTTAGTAAGCCTGGATATCTGTTTCTGATGCCAATTTTAGTTACTTGAACTTGTGTCAAAGAGTCATAAATGGCAACAATCCCAAAAAATTATCCAAATATATTTCCTATTCTGCATTCATTACAGGAATGGTTAACATTTAAAACTAATTACAAAGCAGTGCTAAAGGGCTAAGCAGCAATTGTTTTCAAACTCTACTGTTTAATCTTATCTCTGCAGAAGCTTGAAGGCATTTAGGCTCCCACCTGCTTGTCTTTGGCTTGGCAGCCATTGCCTGGTTCCCACTTCGTGTTTTGCAAAGCCACAGCAAATATCAGGAGCATTTCTTTTTACCCGGCTGCCGGTGTGATTCCAGCCCAACCCACTCCAGATCACCACATGTATCTTGGCCGTTTGTCTAATGCTGTCAAAATCCAAAGCCCTCCGTTCTTTTCTGGCACACACTGGAGGTAGAGTGATGAGTTCATATGTGTGATTCTCTGCCCAGCCTGCCTGACCACACTCGCCACCCTGAAGCCCATGTTTTAGACCTTTGTGTGAAACCTGTGCTCCTTTACTAAATACTTTTGCTGAGCTAGGGAGAGAGCACTTGTTTATTCATCTGCACAGTTTCCTACAGCTTAGTGCTTCATGAAGGACGTGTGAGTATGAAAATTTATGTTCATGGGGCTGTGTACTAATTTTTGGCAGTGTTAGAATTTAAGCTACAAAATGTTCTCTGTAATACTAGGAAAAATTCTCTTTTTCACTTAAAAAGGAAATACTAAGTATTCTCAGCACTCTATAAAAGGGAAACATTGAAATGAAATCACAGTGGGCCTGCCCTAGCATTTGGTACTCTGCTAGCAGGCTTGAGTGTGAGTTGGTCTTCTGTGTCCCTCACTTGGGGCCCATCCCTCTGCATGCAGTGGGGTCCAGGCAACACAGGAGAGGAGTGTGTGTTCTGGGTCACAGGTTGTGACCCCGCCCTTGTTAAGTTTGCTTCTTTACCTCTAAGTGGGCAGAAGTGATGTTACCTGAATCTTTTCCATTACAAAAATTCCATTTTGTAAAAAAAAAAAAAACTACACTAATGTACACCTTTCTTTTTCCCTCTAAACTCACTAGACCTCCTCATTGACAGTATTTAAATAGAAAATGTAAGTAATTACTTTAGAGTATTATTCCATAATATGAAAATCTACTACAAAAATTCTTTGCTAAAGCAACTGTATGGAGTCATTTTAGACCATGAAAAATGTGTTTGCATTTTTATTTTTTTTAAAAATTAAATTTACTAATTTTTAAAAATGCAGCTATATTTAAAGTAGAATAAAAATCACACTCTGTAAACATGCTTTTTTGCCTTTTCTATTAGAAAATAGACTTTAATGAACAGTTTGATTTTTTTATCTGTGTGTGTTACACACAGCCAGCCCCCTCACAAGGA